GAATATAAGCTTTAATTATATTGTCATTAAATTTCATGCTGCTACTTGTAACTCAAAATAGCTTAAACTATTTCTTTATCTTTACATCTTTTCAGTGTCTTTAAAGAGTTCACAAACCTTTTTTTATGTTCCCAAGTACAAAGAGGAGCAGAGCATGAAACATGAATTTAGTGAAAACATATTTCTGGAGAGCTTTTGGGCAAACGAGCTTCGTTTAAGCAGGAGCTGTGATGTGCATTGCATAGCTCAGCCCAAGAAAAAGTGGTTGTTGAGAGTACTTTGTGTTTCCTTGGCTGGCATTAGGTCTGTCTTAGTAGGACACCCAAGACTTCATAAATCAAGTATATTTAATGAGAAATGCTGTGTGTGCATGCATGTTGTGTCTAAAAATAGTGTTCTTTGAACAGGATTCAATTTTGACTTTGCCTGCTATGCTTTTAACATGAAGCAGAACCCCATGTGGAAAAACTAATGTCATTTTATTGGCCAGCTGAAATTCCCCCTGCTTGGCACTGCTTCTTTTCAACTCCTCACGACCAAGTACTTCTAGTTAGTCAGCAGCAGGATATGTAAATTCATCCTGGGCATTAGGAAATAAAGAACAGATGCTGTAGAAAATGTTTTTTTAATAGTGCATTTTTTCCTTTAAAGCTGCTTTTTTTCTTTTAAGTTGAACTCTGCTTTGTTTTTCCAACTTTACTAATTATTTCCACTTACCTCTCTTTCATTCTAAGCTTAAAAGAAAAAAATGTGCAGTTTATTTTTTAAACCTGGTATTACCTGTCTTTGCTCCAGTGGAATCCTTTTGTATTTCTAACAGAAGAATAGCAGAAGAATTTGGCACTGAATAAGATAGTGAAATCATGATCTAGTAACACTTCTGTCAACTAAATGCAGTGAAGTCTCTTCTGCTAAAGTTATGTAGACACTTCATTCTGAGCAGCTCAGACCAGTGATAAGTTTAAGGAAAGTGTGCACGTGTTTTCTTGTCTCTCTGCTGTGCTTGCTTAAAATCGGTCACCGTGAATCATGCTAACAGTAAAAGTGAGGTCAAAGTTTGAATTTACATATGTACATCTTTGTAGAGTGTATGAAGTGTGTAAGTGCCAAACTGTTGTCTCTAGAAACTGAAATTCTTTTTCCACAGAACAGGAGCTACAAAAGTTAAAGCTCGTGCAAACTTTCTTATGCTGGGTAAGTGCTGAGATCTGCTGGCGTTTCTGACCGTCTGTTAACCATCGCACAAAGCTAAGCTCTCAGTGTGGACAGCTGCCCTTGAGGAAGTCTGCTGGGTGCCACCCCCTTGTTGTGCTGGAGTCATCACAATAGTCAGTACATGGTGACTTACTAAATATGCCTGAGATGAATTCTAGACTTACTCTGAATAATTGCAGTCTTGAGGATTGGGGATGAATTCAGAAGTGAAACATGTCTAACAAGGTCTAAATTTCCTGTTAACCAAACGTTCAGTTCTAAGCTGGTTTTCCTAAATCTGTCACCAGATATAATTTTTTGACTCCTCTGGTCTCATACATTCAGCATAGGCAGACAGAATGTTATCTATGTAGGCAACCAATACAAATAAATGGATTCTCCTTGTCCTCTCCCTTCAGTTTGTTCTGTTGATTGTTTGTGAGGACCAATTTCTCCACCTAAATTTTGGGTTTACTTACGGGGACAAAGCTGTTCTGAATGACAGAAGCAAACTGTAACGTGGGATCTGGAGATGAAGAAAGGAGGAGCATAATATTCTATAGCGAGCAGTTGTGGTGGCATCAGGAACTTGAGTTCCAGTCTCTGATGGGTTTGTTCTGCAGATTGCTCACTTGTTTTCAGCAGCATCAGTGCTAATAGTAGACATGTGCAAGGATGTCCATAGTGCTATAGGCATTAGGGATCAAGTTCCCAGCAGGGTATACAGACCAAAAAAGAACCTAGCACTTCTGAAGGGATTGTCTCAGGTCTGGCTAAAATGGCACTGTCGTGTGATAAGCAGTGCTGTAGCTATTGTGAGGTGGTTATGTGAAAGCAAGGCCTTGTGCCAGTTTCAAATTAGCGAATAATGGAATTAGCCAGTCAAGCTTACTAATAGTGTGTGTACTACGTACTGTGCTGCTCTGCTTTCACTAAAGTTCACTACTTTGGCTGTGTTTGCCTGAGGCTTTCTGCCTTTGTCTGTCTTTCAGCTTGCACTGTGTTCACAGGAAGGTTTTGTATCACAGCTTTTTATCAGTATTCAAATTCATCATAAATCACCCACTTTGTGTTTAATTATCACTGCGTTTGAGATGTGGCTTACACGCCGTGTATGGTGTTTGTTTCTGTATAACTCACAAGTACCTTAAATTGAGGACGGCTTCCTGTCTAGCAGTGCCAGCGCAGCAGATCCTCAGTGAGTGGGACTTTGCCTGGACTTCAGCTTGTGTGGTGGTTGGGGTCGTGCAGCACACAGCCTTTGCTGCGAAACGTTGAAATTCACAAATGCATTTTGGCAGCTTTAGGAAGGGGAAATGAGTGCTGGAGAAACTCCTCAAACCAAGCTGTGCCAAAAAAAAAAAAAAAAAAAAGCCTTTTCTGTTTTTCTGAAGGGTGTAAATTCTTATAATAGGTGAAACGTTTTGCATGGTAAGACTGTTGCATACGTTATGAAAAACAGGGTTAAACATTCATGCATGCTGTTGTTTTATAAGGTAGCTGAACTTGTAGTTTGTTAATGAAATGGTGCTTGTCTCTTTGGGTGCTTTTTGGTGATGTATCCAAATAGATTGGTTATATGATAGAGGTAGAGTATACCTCAGGGAAATGAGAAATTTGCATGTAAGAAAACTTGCAGCAGCATCAGATTCTGTTTGGATTGCATTTTTGTTAATCAAAATATCAAAAGAAGTTTGGGGTTTTCTGATGAAATTTCAAGAGTGTGTTTGCATGCACTTACTAAATAAACTCACGGAGAGCTGTTCAGTGTGGAGATCCCATCTCTGGCTCCGAATTCCTAAGCTTTAAACAGCTGGATTCCCACAGCATTCCAGGCAAGCACACTCTGGGTATTTATTGTGTTCTTCTATTTATCCTTTTTGCCATCTGCTGCTGGTTACTGTTTAATACTAAGCAAGATGGACTTCTGGTTTGAGATGTCCCTGTTCAGAGTATCCCTCCCTTTATGCTTAGATGTGTTTTTCCTATGTGGAGGAATACGAAGGCTGAATTAGCCACTCATATTTTCATCATCTGTCTCTCTTCAACTGTGGCTATGTAAGTAGATCCCTAATGACTGAAATATCAGGTAACAGAGAAAGGTAACTGCCTGATTTCCTGCAGTTGAACAGCTGGCTTTGCAAATCCCATCAACAGAATCTGGAGAAGATCATCTTTGGTACATCTTCAATGAAAGTCATTACTTAAATATCATGGGCATTATGCTTTAAATCCTGTTAGTGTTCCCAGTTCTTCACATGTCTGTTTGGCACTATCCTACATAAATAAGAGATTTATCTTGGTTAGTTACGTTTTGTCCCAACATCTTCTCTCCTTGTCCGTGGCAGATTTCACTAGGCTTGCCTAGAATTACTCCAAAATACTGGGTAGAACAGACCTACCTTCTGTTTCCTAATTTTACAATGAATGTATCTCCATAATGAAAATCTGAATTTCTTATCAATTTTATAATGTAAAAATTTGGTGGAGAGCCTCCATTAATTCCAATGTTGTGTTCTTTTATTTTTGTGATTGTAACATGTCTGAGAAAAAGCCTGCTTTCCTCCCCATGTCACCAAAAAAGAAGGGGTTCTATTTTAATTCTTCAGTGTTTGGCATTCATTCAAGACAGAATGCTATTTCTGGTTAAATGCTTTTGTTAGCTCTAATGAAGTTAGACTACTGTTAATGTAAAGTGATGATACCAGCCATGTGCTAAAGGCCATAGACATGGCTGTAATTGCATTGGGCAACAGCAGCTGCTGGCTGTAGGCCAAGCAAAAGCAGTAAGAATGATCAAGTTGTTATATGAAACGTGTGAAGAACTCGGTAGTTATTTAACAAGTCTCTTAATGATAGGCTCTCCTTACGTAACAAAAAGCTTAGTTAGCAGATCACTGTTTTTGTTGGAAGTGAGCGTGCTTATATTCATATGTTGTATCTAAAATCCTAAGAAAACAAGAATTGATGGGTACCATACTTGCCTTAACCTTTTCCAATTGAACCAGTTCTTAACCAAACTCATGCAAGTAGTTCTTAGGTGTTCCTGTTGGTGGTATTGCTTACTGTCCGTTCATGCTTTGCTTTTCAACGCATCCTGGAACACAGAGAAGGTTTTTCCTGTAACTGAGTTCTGTCAATTAGACGTATGTTCATCTGTAGAATGGTACCTCAGCCTGAGATTAATGTAGCTGTTTGCAAGCTTCCATGTTACTAATCATTACCTCTGCTTTGCAGAACACCTCCAAGTCCTGTAGGTTTGCAAGCATAGAACTCCTGGATGTTTTTACCTTTCTGTTAACCTTTGCCAGTAAGCATGAATATTTTTTTGGTAGAATATTCTGTTTGATCAATTTTTTTTTTTACTGAAGAATTAAATTCCACAGTTTGGTTACTGTATTACGTGTTTGATTTCTGCAGGCTATAACATTTCCCCTCTGTATTGTACAGTTCAACCTTTTTCAAAAGGCATTTAGTAAATTGCAGGTAGAACAGCTATTGTTCAACCTCTTCCATAACTTTCTGGTGGTTCATTAATAAGTAGCAGAATCCTCTCAGGAAGGAATGGCCCTCAGAGCTCCACCTGACTGGCCAGCTGAGAAATCTGAAGCAAATGTCTAAGGAAAAGGTTGGGGATTTTGGTCAGTGTGTTATGCTGGCAGCCGGATTATCGAACTGGTCATCATTTCATCAGTTGTTGGGTTTTGATGTTTTTCTTTTTTAATGATATTTTTCAATTGAGTCATTGGATCTTTGAACTTTATTTAAAAAAAAAAAAGTGTGAAATTCTGTTTTGTCTTCAACAGTGCCCTTAAAGACAGTCGTTTCCCCCCAATGACGAGGGATGAGCTGCCACGGCTTTTCTGCTCAGTGTCTCTACTCACTAACTTTGAAGATGTATGTGACTACATGGACTGGGAGGTAAGGATTGTGCATGTCCTGTAAGAAAATGTCTTTGATAACCGTGAGCGTCTGTTAAACTCTTACTGTTTAAATCATCTGCATATATTCAGTGTAGTTGCTGTTTGGCACTCTGTGCAGGTTGTTTGGCGTAACGATTCAAGATGCCATTTTGGTAGAACTGCCATTGCCTTGAAAGCCAGAGCCGAGAAAATGGAATACAGTTGATTCCATTTGTCTTCCTTGGCTTTCAGAGCAAGTGGCCTGCAGGACAGCACAAAGCCCTGATACAGTGAGGCCATGTAACTGGCAGCTCTTGTCTTCCTGTTCTCCTTACTTAGAGCAGAATCTGTTTTACTTGACCTGTTCTAGGAAACCTTTTGAGCAGCAGCATAAAAGCCACAGATTAGGAAGCTTTTAGAGTTATTTCTGGGAAGGTGTACTGGAACGAAGTGCTATTCTGTGTTCTTATGTTCTTTCACAGATTATTGGTTTTAGATGCTTGCACAAAAGTAAATTACTGGAGTTAAGATCAACTTCTCATCTCAGCCAGGATGATTGTTTTAGTCTGTATTTGAACAGATGGAAATTGTTTTGAAGTTGTTGTCTATGCTACTGGATGTGTTACAGTGCCAGAGACACCCCACAAATTAAGAGTACTTTCATGTAAACACTGACTTCCCTACAACAGCAGCTTAGCCCTCCTAGATATTTAGGAGTTCTTAATAGCAAAAGAGGTTTCCTGTTGGGCCCACACATAACAAATGTGAATTGAATAGAAATGTCGTTTGTTGTTACAGTGGTAGGAGGCACCACAGAATGGTGCTCTTATGACTTAAGTCATAACATTCAGATTTGTTTGAAATAATGGAGGATTTTACTTTCAGCGCCCTCTTTGTGCCTTGTGCAGAATCCTCGATTCCTCGTCAATACTGTAAACAAGTTTAATGCAGAAAAGTAATTCTGTGCAGTTGTGATTTACTTTCCAGAATCTCATGATTCTTCTCACTGGAGAGTTCTGGCTTATGGAGGAAGAATGAAAGGGTCAAAAATACAATAGTTCTTGTATTATTCATTTGCTAACTTGTTCTCTCATATTTAAGGGTTTTAAACCTTCAGTAAATTCCTGGGAATTCTCCCACACAAGCCCTCAGCTCCCACCCGAGGAATATTTGGGGCAATTTTAGAGGAATTTTGATCAGTGTTCTGGTTTAGAGCTTGTGCAACTGAATATACAGACACTTAAAAGTCAGCTAAATGCATAGGTAGTTAATGTGATGTTGCTGTTGTAAGGCTAACTTCGTTTTTCCAAGTCAATTTGATTAATTGCCTATAGTAGCATTCGTTTCCGTGTCACATAACTACTTTACCAATGAGGTTTATTTGGCAAACTTGGTGATTTGTGCTTCATCAGTAGGTCCCATTTAAGCTCAACAGGTTGTCTGTTTTCCTGTGTACAGTAATAAAAACAGTTTGTGTTGATGGGACATGTTTTGAGAAGACACCACAAAACTGGTGGACTTATGGATGAATTTTTCTTTTATATTTTCTTTTGTCTAGGAATGGGAGTAAGATCAACAAAGTGTTGTTTTCTGCTAGCTTGCAAATCAAACTGTCAGCATTCTCCTAGCATGGGGCCTAAAAATGACTTGGTGACTTTGCTGAGGATTGCCCATAGAAGCAGATTGGAAACTGGTAGAAGCTTAATAGCTGACAGTGGCCCCATGGAAAGGCTTCGTGAAATTCCCTCCACGGTCTGCTTGTTAGTGCTTGCCTTTTAAATATGGCTGAACTGCTCTTGGCTGTAAGTCTGACACGACTGAGCACCCATCTTCATCTGATGGCAATAATCACACGTAGTATAGATGAGTTGAGATTGCAGAAAGCTGAGCTGTGGAGGGTTGACACGATGCTTCTCGAAGGTTGCAGGCAGGTTGTATTTTACAGCAATCTGAAATGGTGTTCTTTTAATTTGATACCGACCTTTTTCTGTTCTAAAAAAAAGCCTTTCAAAATTGATAATTGATATGGGCAGAGATGTGCAAAGGAGTGTTATTAGAATGAGATCTTTGGGACTGAAGTGCTGAACTTCATTTGCAGTGTTCTTGCAGCTGCAGAAATATACTCTGTTCTCATCTTAGCAATAAACTAAGTAGATTTTAGTCTCTAACACCACTTCTTTTTACTTTCAGGCTCCTTAAGTTCATAATTACATCATCTGAGTATACAGATTTGAACTTTGTAGTGTTTATATGTCCATTTTATGAATGTTAAGTAATAAAATACATTAAAATTGGCAGCAAATTCAATATGTTAGCCTCTAATTAATTTTTCCTTTGTAAGGAGCGGTAGTTTCATGCAGAAAGCTTATGAAGGCCATGGCCAAGACTTCTCCCATTTCTCTGTACTTATGTCACATATAAAAGTCACGGACCTTAAAAAACAAAAGTCTTAAAATAACCAAATATGTTAATTGAACAAGTGGTCATTAAGGGCTCTGTAGATGTCCCTCAGTTGTTTTTTCACTGTCATGTGGTTATGTTAAAAGCAGTTGTCACTGGAACAATTGTGTTTCGTATTAAATTTTGGGTTGAAAAACAAATGCCATGAAAAATACAGTGCGTGTGATAGCCTTTTAAATGTGAGCTCTTCATTTCCTCATGTAGAGTGGGGGACTTTGGATTTAAATAGAAATAACATTTCCGTATTTTATGCATGAAAACAAAAATATCAGCTATTAATGTTTTGAAATCCAAAGCAGCTTGTTGTCATTGTACGTTGAAACTGGCAGATCTTCAGTAATGCCCTGGAAAGGTATCTGGCCTCTTTCTTTTTTGGTAACTCCTCCATCAAATACTCCCACTGCCTTCAGATGAGTAGTTTTGGTTTCTGTAATGGCAGTCTGCCATATTGCTCTAGTAGCATGGAAAGGGAAGCTGGAAGTTGAATGCTGTCCTCATACATGAGCAGGATTTTTCAGGGTTTCAGGATCCAACTGGCAGTGACAGGTGGCACAGCAATTTTGTCAGCAGCTGCTTTTGCACCTCAGCTGGTTGTTGGTTTTGGTTTTTTTTTTTGCAGAAAGATGGTATTTGTTTTGAACATCTTCTGCAACTGTTTGCAAAATGGCATCAACCATCGAAAGGTTCACATGTCAACCTTTATCATGTTAGAAATCTCTTGTATCTCTTTTTTTAATGTACTAATAAAACTGCCAATTTCTTGCAGGTGGGTGTACATGGCATTAGAATAGAATTCATCAATGAAAAAGGATCAAAACGCACCGCCACCTACTTACCGGAGGTTGCAAAGGAGCAAGGTCATTGTTGAGCTTTATTTCATATGATCTGGTGAAGAATTTAAACATACCTGTAAATCTAAAATGCAGTATTTGACCTTGCACTGATGTCAGATGATGGAGCAATATTTAATTGTAAGAAAAGACTCTTCTATAAAATGCCAATTACGTGTCTGTCTCAAACCCCCTTGTAGGGACTCAGTAAATTGTAGCTGTTCTGATGCAAATCCTAACCATAGTGAAGGTGTAAGAAAATAACTTCTGGGTTTTGGGGTGTTGGGAAAGGATTATTTTCATACTGGAAGTCCAAAATAAGGTTACTGATTTCAATAGGACAGACTTCAGTTTGTGAATCAAGAAACTTACATATACAGTAGCTTTTGTTGAACAGCTGTTTGTTGAGCCAAACTGAAGATTTTCTCTTTGAGGCTTAGAAGTGTGTCTTAGCCTTTTGAATTTTGCATTGCCACTTCTTCATTTTCCTTCTGGTGCACTAAGTAATAGCAGTGAGACCTTCATTAACAGATAATAGATCTGGTCTCCCAATGGTCACTTGAAAGCTCAGATGCCTTCCAAGGCAGTTCTTTCCCTTTTGCTATCTCAGGTTGGCCAGTTACAAAGGGCTCTTTTGGTGAGACCTTTGGTGATCACTTACGCATGGGTTTTTTTAGTATTCTTTTAAATTCAGGAATTGGGGGAAGGGTTAAATTTCTTACTTGTGATAAACTATGCATTACAGTCTGACTCTTAAAATTTACCAAAATTGTTTTTTTCTTTTTTTTTTTCCTGCTTTAAAAATGCAGTGTGACAAACTTAATTGCATCTTTGGGAAGTAAGATGTCTATTTTAGAAATAGTGGGCTTTTTAAAATCGACGTGTAGGAGTTTTGAGTAGCATGACTTTATTGAGAACAGTAGTGAATCTGAATATTTGTTGTCACTTTTTTTAAACAAACCAGCCTGCTACATATCACAGATGTTCTGAAATTTAAAATATCACTGTTAACTTTGCAGTGATATTTATGGAGAGCCCTAATGCCTGAAGTTCTCTCCACCCATTCAGTTAATAAATCTTTTGAATTTTCTTTCATACAGAAACGAAGCTTTCCATGCTGCCAGAGCCACTTAGGATGTATGATCAGATGTGGTTAATGATCTGAACGACTCAGAAAATTGCAATTTTGTTTGTCATTGTCAGTCACCTGGATATGTGGGTGCAGTATTTCAACCACAAGATAAAAATGCATTGTTGGTAGAGCAAGCTTTATGCCTGATGAAATGCTGCTCAGCATCTTTCCCACAGCTATCTCCTGCATAGGAGAACGCCCCGTGTTTCATAGGTAACTTCAGGAGAGCAGCTGTGTTACCAGTGTCACTGCGTATCGTGCTGTGTTTTTGCAACACCTGTTCCTACTGCAGTAATGCTCATGAATTTTTACCGCTGTGAAATTCAACAGGATGGGACCACATTCAAACCATAGATTCCTTATTGAGGAAAGGAGGCTACAAAGCTCCGATTACTAATGAATTCAGGAAAACCATAAAGCTAACCAGGTATGCATCCCGGGGATACTGCAGATAAGCCCTGTTGGTTTGGTTTTAGTGTGATGAGTTCATTTCCTGGTAAGTGGTTGTTTCAGATGTTAACAGTAAGCTTTCATGTATGTATTATTAATATTTTCTTTCTTTTCACAACAGGAATACAGACTTCTGAGAATATCTGTGCCTTGCATTAAATACAGTAGAGCTTACAGGCACTAAGCAAGGAAGAAAGGGCTGCTAAGTAGCTTGCTGCATATATACCAGGGAGTATATATATTTTGTTTCATAACTGAGAAATCCTTGCAGCGTATCAGCTCTGCAGTTTTACAGTTTGCTCATTGGCTGCAGCGGATCTCAAGGGGCTGTTATTAAGGGGGATTACTTGCCATTGTCACGTTGTGTATGAGCAGTTGGTGCTGCTGCTCTGGAGGCCATGCAGTGCCCTGAGCTGTTCAGCTCTCCGAGCGGGCGCTGGGGCTTTTCCCTCCTGCAGAGTAGGAGCTTCATCTCCTAACAGGTGCTGGGCATGCAAAGTGGGGAGCTGATCTGACAGGTGGTGCGCTGGCTTGACTGCATCAGGTACTCTAGGAAGGAAGACATAAGTGCAGAGCTTTACTTCACACTCAGACACTGTTGTATGTTGTGTGCCCGCTGTAATGCTTGTTTAATACAATGTGCTCGTGAGGGCTCTTTAGCAGGTCAGAGCCAAAAGGTTAGAGAATGGGTTGCAAATGTTCCACCTATAAAATTGTAGTTGTATGGTGAAAGAGCAGGTGTCAATAGGAAGCCCTGTAAAACAACATTATTTTATAACCATGCAGTACAAAGTGACTGCTGAGCTCTTGCTGTTTATTCCATGCTTTGAGAACTAAGGATTTTATGAATCCTGTGTCATAAGGAGGCACTGACTGATAACCCATGAGGTTTCTTCTCCTCTCTTCAGGGATAACAAGCACTATTATTAATACAACTCATAAATTTGGTAGTTAGAGACCTTTATCCAACACCATTATTCTTCCTATCTTTCGTTGACTTGCAGGGACTCGCAGAGAAACGAGATTCATTTTTAATATGTTGGTTGGGTATGTTAGCATCACTTCTGTGTACTTATTTCTTTGGGAATTCTTTCCTCCTTAGTGCAGCTGGATTGGGTGTGAGCTAGACTCCACTCCCTATTTCCATAATTAAAACCCAGTCCTTTCATTTCAGACACAAAAATACTGGGCTTCTCATTATTGTTAATGTACTCTTAGAAGACAAAGAGCTGAGTGTTTTTTTTCAGTTCCCACTTTTGTCACCTACATCTAAAATGCTTGCCATTACTTAGCAGTGTTTGTTTAGACTTGGCAGAAGACAGAGCATTTCTCAGAAAACTGTTTTCACTTTAGAAGAATCTCTCCCTCACTCAGTGTTGTTTTGGGTAAGGAAAAAGACTTTGTCCCACTGACTGAAATTCTGCTTTCTAGTAGGAACCTGATTCCAGGGGAATTGCTATTGCTGAGGAAAACATGCTATTCTGAGGGTTATGACTGGGAGGAAGGTTTTATGGAATCCAGCTTAAATTTTCAAATGCAGCACCCCAATTTTCTTGCTATCTTATTCTCAAGAACATATAGAATATATGGTGATAACTTAGGGCATGAGTAGCTGTAGGAGTTCTTAAGTGAGACTTTCTGTACACCTCAGTGAATAAGGGATGTATTTTTCCGAGACACAAAACTTCTGTATAGCACGCACATTGTTCCAGCTCCATGATTTTGTTTGAAGCAATGGCATACCAGTGCAGAACAAAACAAGTGTTCTGCTTAGTATATTTAGTTCAACATCCCAACCACAAAATCACAAGCCTAATGAGTAGAATAGACAAAGCGTGTTGTTTAATATTATGATTTTTTCCATCTGTGATTCTACACAGGCTGCCCTTGGCCTGTTTTGACTCACTTAGAGCCACTGGTTGCCAAGCTTATAGTTTAGTTCCATAGTGGTGAGGGGATTAGTGCACAGATCAGCTTACTCATCAGGTGCAGGGAGTGCAGTGCTCCACTCCTATCGCTGAGAGAGGAGCTGCAGCTCAGCTGCGACCAGCAGCCGTTTAAGTTAGTACATCATTAACCAGCGCCGCCGTCGCAAGTAATTGCGGGCACTGCGGTGCACTGAAGCAAGAAGCTGTAAGCATAAGGTGTTCTGCTCTGTTCCTCTGGCAGAGGCAGCAGAAACAATTGTTTGCCACCTCAGTTGCTGCAGTTGGTAACTCAACAGCAGTTTGAATGTCTGTGTTGGGCTGTGAGTACAAGCTGTTGAGGCATGCGTTGTGCTTTTTCAGACCTAAGAGGGAAAAGAACAAACAGAGCGACTCCAGAAGAGAAATGTCATAAACAAGGGAGGTGGCAATATTTTAAACCACTGTAGCTGGATTCACCAACTCTCATCTGTAAGATCTCTTATGCAGGGGCTTATGAAGTGACATTTGTGGCAATATGGAATAGTGTTATTTTTGAGTAGATTTCACAGTTTTACAGATAAGTGTAAATGTGGCACTATGTTCCTTGTTGTCAAACAATATCAATGCAAATTTATCTGAAGTACATTTTGGGGAGTAGGGGCTGTTCTACTTTAAGCTATATGTAGTTTAAAAGGGAAATCACTTCACTTCGTATAGCTGGATTTATTTTAAAAGCAGAATGTGCTAGACATTACTTTTTAAAAACAGCTCTGGAATCAGTACTGCTTGTTTACAGGGCTTTTCTCCTAGGTTATTTGTAGAGAGTTGGCTGATAATTTGGGATGCTCAGTAAATCATCACAAGTTCAAATACCTTGAGTAAAGTAGTAGGCAGCGATTTTTTAATAGTTTTTTTTTAATTTAAAATATTTTTCTTAAGCACTTATGTTGTGACTTGTGTGATTCAAGAACAGCCCCCAAAAACATGGTAGTTCTCTCCATGCCCTTGTGCAACTAAAGTTTGTCTTATTCCTGAGACCAAAAGTACAGAGCTGTTCTCGTCATTAGATGTACACCTAGCACCATATTTTCAGTGCTGCTCATAGCTGCCCAATGAAAGTTCTTGAGTTTGCTCCTTTGCTCTTTTCTAGGTACCGTAGTGAGAAGATGACCATGAGCTACACAGAGTACCTTGCCCATCGTCAGCATCATCACTTCCCAAATGGCATTGGGCACCCCCTTCCACCATACAACCATTATTCCTGACACTGAGCCGCATGACCAGTCACTGGACCTCTCTGCAGACCTCTTCCCAGGAGACCCTGCCCCTTCTTGGTCTAGCTATCTCTATTACTGTACCATTTTATGATGATAGTTTCCGTTGCCATTTTGAGGCTTCTCCGTAGTTGGTTAAGCTCATTGTGGCAACGGGAGGGAAAACTGCATTATTACAAAGATCCCATACTTTTTTATTGAATCACTGCAGATTTTTTTGCAGCATATATAGCCCTTGGGTTTTTTATGAAATGTTAAATTTCTACTTCATTAACATTGAATTATATCAGTCAAGACTTTCTGTGACTGTGGATGGAAGGAAGAGTTTAAGGATTACAGTTGGGGATTCTTTGCTCAGAAAAAAAAAAGGCATTCATGGCTTTTTCATTAATAGCTCTGTCAGGGAATGAAACATATCAGATTCAGGTATTATATTAGACAATGAATTGCATTTTCTTAACCTTCTTAATAGTAGTCTGTGGTACAATATTTCATAGACTTTCTTCTTCCCTTTGAGTTTTCCCATGAGCTCCTTTGATCATCCGTTCAGGTCTCCTGCGGTGGTTGAGCAAGGAGCTCATTGAAAAAAAAGACAAAGGGAAGAAGAAACTCTGTGAAATGTGGAAAAAGGACCTGGCCACTTGGGAGGAATATAGGAATGCTGTCAGGACCTGCAGGGATGCAGCGAGGAAGGGTAAGGCCCACTTGGAATTAAATCTGGTGAGGGAGGTCAAGGACAGCAAGAAAGGTTGCGTTTTGTTTTTGGTTTTTTTTTTTTCAATATGTCAGTAGCAAAAGAAAATGTGGGCCTGCTACTTAATAAGGTGGTTGCCCTGGTAACAGGGGATGTTGAGAAGGTGGCGATGCTGAACACCTTCTTTGCTTCAGTCTTCACTGATTAGACTGTCCCTATGGAACCTCAGACCAAGGAGGTAAGAGAGTCTGTAGAAAAGACTTTCCCTTGGTCAGGAGGATCTGGTCAGAGATCATGTAGGCAAACTTGACTCCTACACATCCACTGATCCCGATGGGATGCACCCCCAAGTGCTGAGGAAGCTGGCAGAAGTGATTGCCAAACCACTCTATTGTCTTGGAGAATGGGAAAGGTGCCTGAAGACTGGAGGATAGCCAGTGTCACTCCAGCCTTCAAAAAGGACAAGGAGGAGCTGGAAAACCACAGGTCAGTTGGCATCACCTCTGTCCCTGGAAAGGAGATGGAACAGCTTGTTGCGTCATCACCAAGCAAGTGGAAGAGAAGGTGATTATCAGGAGCAGTCAGTGTGAATTCACCAAGAGGGAAGTCATGCTTGACCACCTTGGTAGCCTTCTGTGATGTCATCACCAGCTGGGTAGATAAGGGGAGAGCAGTGGATATTGTATACCTTGACTTCAGCAAGGCTTTAGACAAGACTTGCAGCCATTCAGCAGGACATATACAGGTTGGTGAGTTGGGCAGAGAAGAGCCTGATCAGCTTCAGCAAGAGCAAGTGTAGGGTCCTGCATCTGGGAAGGAATGACTGCACCCATCAGTTGAGGTTTAGGGGCCTGCCTGCTGGAAAGGTGTTCTGCAGAGGAAGTGGGTGCTGGCCATGAGCCAGCAGTGTGCCCTTGTGGCTGAGAAGGCCAACTTTATCTTGGAGTGCATTAAAAAGAGCATGGCCAGCAGGTCGAGGGAGGTGATCCCCCCTCTACTCTGCCCTGGTGAGGCCACATCTGGAGCGGTGTGTCCAGTTCTGGGCTCCCAGTTCAAGAAGAACAGATAACTTCTAGAGAGAGTCCAGAGAAGGGCCACAGAGATGAAGAGGGGCCTTGAGCATCTCCTGTACGAGGAAAGGCTGAGAGACCTGGGACTGTTCAGTCTGCAGAAGAGAAGGCTGAGAAGGGATCTCAGCACTGTTTATCAATATCTAAAGCGTAGGAGTCAAATGGATGAGGCCAGCCAGCTCTTTTCCAGTGGTGTGCAGCGACAGGAGGCAGTGGGCAAAGAAACTGGAACACAGGAAGTTTCATAACATGAGGAAGAACTTCTTTACTGTGGGAATAATGGATCATTGGAACAGACTGCCCAGAAAGGTGGTGGAGTCTCAATTTCTGGAGATATTCAAGACCCACCTGGATGCCTTCCTGTGTGATCTGCTTTAGGGAATCTGCTTCAGCAGGAGATTGGACTCAGTGATGTCCAGAGGCTCCTTCCAGTCCCTAGAGTTCTGTGTTTCTGTAACAGTATCTCACCCCTGCAGTAAAGATTTCATGGAGCTATAGATGTAGGTCGCTCTGAAAGTAATGCTTCCTATTTATTTACATGGAAACTACAACAAAGAGCACAGTAACACTACTTGATAGAGAAAATTCTCAGCTGCAAAACACTAGTTTTCAACGTAATTATTGCCATTAGCAGAGACTGCCCCTCTGCTGCCATCTGTCACACAGCAACAAAATGTAATGGAATATTAGGGGAAGGTTCTACCTCTGCTGCCCTCCTACCAACATCTGTCTAATTTCATGGGCCAACACCATAAAACAGGAGGCATTATTTTCAGAGTAGCCCTTGTATGTGACCTTCAGCTCGAGCACACAGCCACAATTTGAGGCTCGTATACAAAATGCTTTTCTGGATATGGAGAAGCAACTAAACGTAATAAGAGGTGAGCAGTGTGCTCAGAATCACGTGGTCTAATTGAAAGTACATGACATAATCCAGTAGGATACCTTTATCTCCTGTTCTGCACTGGAAGCCGAGGGCAGCCCAGCCCTGTCAAGCCTGCTCATCATAATGCATTTCTAATGAGACAATGCCTTTCTGATGAGCTCAAATTAGAAGTTGCATTTGTTTTTAGAAACAGATTGGTGAGTAGCAGATGTCATATTAGGAAGAAAACGGATTTAGATTTTAGTGCCTTTGACTATGACATGATTATACTTGCATATAAAATTCATAGAAAAAATATAGCAAATGTGCCAGACATTCCAGTAATCAGCGTTGAGTTCTTTGCTGCTCTGGTGTCAGGTTTTGGGGGATTTTCTAAAGTGAGATATTTTTCATTTTCTTATTTTAGAAAAGAAAAATCCCTATCTTCTTCTTGCTTGTGCTTTTGAATTTGCTGGGTTTTATCAGGTCATGGATAGTTGGGTAACTTGTTTAAAAAAAAAAAAAATTGTGTTGTGAAAGAGCACAGGACAATTATGCCATAATTTGTACATCTTTTCATCTACTACAGGAATAGTACTTGAGAGCTGTGAGTACTTCATAATAAATCTCATAATTCTCCACAAGGTAGGAGAAAGAAAACTGATGAGGACTTGTAACAACTGTAAAAATAGGATTTATTAAGTGGTGTATGTGGTATGGTTGCAAGCCAAGTATATGCCAGGAGCTACCTCCTTGCTCACGTGCCTGCAGAACTCCCACTAATAGCCACTGCAGTTCAGTGCACGTTTTAGGGGACTCCACATCCCATCTACTATGGAAAAGACCTTCCTAGCATGGGCGAGCCAACTATGGTAAGCAGAAATTCCAGTTATTTTGAATAATGAATGTTTTAAAAAATACATATATCACTCAAATAGATAAATAGAGTTAAGTTGATAAAAGGAACAACAACAACAGAAGACTAAAAACGTTCCAGAAAACAGATACGGATAAATTATCCCTTATGTGAGGATAGAATGCCACTTAATTTGTACAGAGCTTCTTGTAGAAGGTCTTTTGTATTCCTTCATCCACAGCACCCTATGTCCAAATATTTCCATTTTCAGTTGTGATGCCTTAATTTATAAGCAGAGGGCCTGAAATGTCAGGAGCCAAGAGGTGCCAGGCAGACGCTGCAGAAACTAATAGATGTTTATACAGAGGCTATTTTGGATGATACTGTTGTTTCTACTTGGGGGAGCGGTTTCAAATGGATTTGTCTTCAAGTGGAAACTGTGAACCGGTGGCTACCTGAGAGGTGTTTTGGTTTTGTTTTTTTCCTTGCCCTTATAGGGAAACTGAGCACAAACCGAATCATTCTGCTGCAAAAAACAAAACACAAAGTCATCCAACCCCATCCTTCTCTGTCATCTCGTTACACGCGCTCACAGCGCTGCGTGAGCTCATCCTTAGAAGTTTTTTAAAAAGATCTATTATATATAAAAATATATATGTATTGAAAGGTGCTAATCAACCTCAAGCAGGTCACGTGACTGGTCATGCGGATCTAAAATCATATCAGATTTTTTAAAAATCTTCGATATATGCAGATGTTATACAGAATTTCTTACCAGTGTAATAATAATATACTGATGAATAAACAATCCTGCGGGTTTTTAAGGACAAGGTCAGCAATACTCCCCACCATGGCCTGGGGGGGAAAAGGATAGTTTTGTCTCCTTTTTGTATACAGCATAATGCACAATGCATTTTTGTCTATCTCTTAGTAGCTGTTGCTTACAAATATGGTTAAAAGGGTGTTATACAAACTGTAAAGGTGTGCTTTTGACATGACTTAATGCCAGACCCTTCTGGACCAGAGTTTTGTATAACTAATTAAAAAGCTGTTACAAAGTCTGCGGTCAATCAGGTTGTATGGTATTTTTTTAGAAAAGATTGGAATAATCAGTTTATCTACAGTGTTTCTAAGGCACCTACCTCCTCAGCACGCAAGGGCTGAGAATACTGCGGATTGTTTCTGTGTAATTGTGGGGTTGTTTATACAAGATGTGCAGTTCACTGTGACATGCACTGGGACAGAATAGGTCTGTTTGCCTAAAGCGAATCGACAATTGCTTTCACAAATGCCATTCTCTGAGCTATTACCCTTTCAGATATGTTGCTGGATTTAGATCTATTAATGTTATTTTTTAATTTGGGGGCACTTCATAAGAGGTGATGGTACAACCGAGTAGCTAATTCCGCTCTTCAAGTCGGATGCTGATCTTTGATAAGCACTAATCCATTTGCCTTATTCCTTGAAGTTTTTTTTTTGATTATTCTTTTGCTAAACGTTTCTGAAGTCCTCCTTCTGAAAACTAAGTGAGACAGCAGAACCCCAGGCTGATGCGATGCTGTTGCTTAGCCGTGCCTCAAGTGGCCTTCCTTCCGCCTGGAGCGCTGCAGCACTGGCCTGGCACCATCTCGGCCCCAACGCTGGTCACAGCAGGGGGAGGGCGCCTGAGAGTTCTGACCTCAGATACAATACTAAGAGAGTCAAATCCATTTGCACACCCTGGCGTTTGTATATGGACCTCTTTACTTGTCTTCAAATGTGCGGGTTTTTAAAACTGTCGTCTGGAGTAGGTTACATCTCTTGTGTGTGTTAGATCGAACCAAAGAAGCCTCCAGCCATGCCCACATGCTGCTCCTAAAGCCTGCCTTCCAGTCCTTGCAAAAGCCCCGCAGGATTAAATGTGTTAATTTTTTTATTTTTGTACAGTTTCTAACTGATTTTTGCTAGTGATGTTAATTGAATTAAGTTTATTTGGGGAGTCTGAGTACCTCCTCCATTTAAATAAACTGGTGACTTTCCTTTTATGTTAAAAAAAAAAAAAAAAGGGAAAAAAAAAAAAAAAGGAAACCCAAAGTGTGCCTCTAAGATTTAAAGGGTTTCTGGTTACATTTATTCTTAAGACCAGCAATGATTCTTTATATAGAAAGATATGTTTTCCTCGTTTTTTATTACTGTTAAATAAAAAATAAAAACCTCTTTCTTTGCTCTGGACCCAGTAATTGCGCTGGTACATAAACGCACTGAGAAAACAAACTTTTGTTTGAAACTTTTGTAACAACTTATGACTGTTTTTGTATATCAAAGTTGATTCTTTTCAAAATATTTGGATCTAGTTTCTAAGTTATTTTAGTGTTTTATATGTTACAAAAAGAAAAAACTTTTAAATTGCTCACCAGCATCTTGAGTTATCTAATGCAGTGGTGACACACAGTGGGCTTGGAGCTGCCTGGAGTAGCTGACAAGGCCTCTCTTTTTCTTCCTTTCTTAGTAACTTGATTGATTACAAATTATATCACAGATTACCTGAACCCCCTTCCTTTATAACTAGATCCTCCTTCCTTCCACATTTAATTGCTATTAGTGTGAAGAAACTGTTGAAATGGGCATTTTAATATAAGTATGGCTTAAAAAAGATAAAATGAGGAAAAAGAAAAAAAAATTATATAGAAGGTTATCTGTGGGTCTGTGAGATATGGCTGTGGAAAGATACTGTAGTAGTTTTAACACTATTGTTATTACCTTTTAAATCATTTACCCAATAAAACAAGGAAAAAGAATCACCATTTCTTTTTGTTTCTCTGCTTAATTGTGTGGCTTTGTCAGTTGATTGCTTTTTTTTTTTTTTTAATTTAAGCATTCACTATCAGTGTTTATTTTAACAGCTAATGCTGCAGTAGGAATGTTTTCCTGGGCTGAAGTCTGCAATTGGCTGTGCGTGATGTGGGAGGCAGCTCACAGCCTGGCTCTGGAGGGAGATGCTGAGGGAGTTACAGCAGCAGGTCAGGTCTCATATGATGTCCAGTAAATACAGATTTATGTACTGGATTGAGTTCCTTATTCTCTGAAAGGTGAAATCAATCTCAACTGTTTACAAACACGATGTTGTAACCAGTACAGTGCCTGCGCCGTACAGGAAAGGAGACAAGATCAATGCAGCAAAATGCATATCAGAGAGTGCCTTGATAGCACCTGGAATAATTGCACTGCTTTTTCACATTACTTTCTAGGTGTGATTTTATAGGATACTGAAGCTTGCTTTGCCGTGAGGAATTTATCTGGTCTGGCAGAGCTAGTTGATGTGCAGGCTGACACGTTGACCTCATGGAAAGAAATGCAGTGCAGGGTTTGCACTGAGGCTCCTGTGAAGATGGAAGATTAAAGAAGTCCCTTTCCTGATGCCAGTGTTTAGTGCAGTGATAGAAAGGTATGTTTTACAGGGTAAGTGTTGGTTAAAGGGACTTTCTTTCCCCTGTAGGATAATTCCTACAGCAGTGCAAGGAATTTCCAATGTTGCCCTGGGATTCAGCTCTGAATGTGGAAATGTTTTTGTTTGCCTTTGACTAATTCATTTTCAGTAGGCTTCCCGTCTTTAGCTGAAAATACTTTGAAAACAAGAATAGTAGCCTTTAGATGTTGGTAACTCTGAAGGGAAAATCTGCTTCCACTGATGTTCTTTCGTTATTTTACAGACTTGGTATCATTTGTCTGAAATAGGTAGAAGTCTCCCCAGACCTTACAGACCATCAGAATGCAGCACTAGTTACAGCTTGCTTCCCAAAGCCCCCTGCTCTTTTTACATCAGCCAGGTATGAGGTTATCATGGAATAGAAATCAAACTAACAGATCAGTGCCAAACATTAGGTCTGTTTCAAAGAGGGCAGGTTGGTTATTCTTCCATTCAGCGTTATTGCCGTGTACTTACGTGTCCTTTTGATTACAGCCAGAAGCTTTTGGAAGTGCAGTAATGATGGCAGTTGTTTGCCATCATCTACATGTGTGAGATTGGCCAGAAAGCCATTGTAAATTATACTGTTTTGAGCTGAAAACTTTTGTACTTTTTCTGTCTTCCTCTACTGAGGTGACAGAGTATGAAACTAAAAAAGAAAACACACTCTACCAAAACTGTGGCAAGAAACTTGAAAGCAGAGTAAACATCATAATATTGTATCCAGAGCTTTTTTTACAGGAAGGAGATGAATATTTGAACAGCGACTAGAGGATTTGTGTCTTACAGCGAAGTAAACTCTGGCTTGTATTGCTTGCTAAATTACAGGCATAGGTCATACTCAAATGCTTTAAAGTTCTAGAAACAGTGATAATCATAATTGCACAGCAGAAACTGCATCATGCAAGGCAAACTAAATCTAGCTGTACAGACAGCTTAAGAAGATAAGAGAAGCTGTATTCTTATTGATCTGATGACCACTTAACAAGTCTGCGTGAATCTAACTGTTAATACTACAAATAGAAGAGGAATGTCTTTTTTTACCTACTTTAAAAACAAGACAGATGCAGTGCCTGACGTGATTACAATGACAACAAAATTACAGTACCATTAAAATGCATTTATTTGTTTTAATTCAAATGTTTAAGAACTGTTTGCCCAGTGAGCTGGACATAGGGCACTACAACCAAAAAAATCAGACCAAAATACAAAAACAAGTACACAAGTTATCCCTTATTTGTAAATGTTACCTCATAACCAAGTTTTAGCACATTAAAAAGTTTACAAAATTTATAACATTCCTACAAATTATTCAGAACTAACAGCATACGCGGCAGTTGAGCCTCTCCACAACCAGCCTTGACATTGCCATTCCATTCTGTGCCTGGGTAGCTAATGGAAACTGCAAGCTTCCAAGGACTGCTCATGTGCTTCAGTCCAGTCCCTGAGCAGTTCCACTTGCCTGGCACAGGTTGGGTGGCGAGAGCAGTGTGGGTGTGCATCCTGTTCTGCCTGCTGCGTCCTCTGCAGCATTGAGATAATGACTCAGGAAATGCAGAAATAATTTAAAAAAGTACAAAATTGACCCTGAAGAGAAACATCATCATTTTAAAAACAGCTTGGTTTTAACTAAGTTACAATAAAGCTGCAAGACAAGTATACAGCAATATCATATTGAGTACAAGATCACAAGAATCAACAGATTTGTTATGTGTATCATCACTAAAAATGAAAATATCAGCACTGATCCACCTGCTTGTAGAAGCCTTCCACCTTCTAACAGAAGGGCTGATATATGCCTTCCTGTTAGCTTTTTCTGAACTGCGTTAACCATTAGGAATAATTCAATTCTTAAGTATCCACCTGAAGTCGAACACTTTAAGGTGACAAGTGCTAGGATGCGACAAAATGGCCTCAAGTTGCACCAGGAGAGGTGTACATTGAACATTAGGAAGAATTTCTGCTCAAAAAGAGTGGTCAGGCATTGTACTGGGCTGCCCAGGGAAGTGGTGCAGTCCCCATCCCCGGAGGTATTTCAGAGATGTGTAGATGTGGCACTGAGGAACGTGGTAGGTGAGGTTAATGGTTGGACTTGATCTTGAAGGCCTTTTCCAGCCTAAATGAGCCTATGACTTGAAAACAGCAAGAAGAACATCAAAGTCTATGGTTGTCATTAGGTATAGATGCACAGGGAGCAAATGCCTATGGTGTAGACGCAAGGATTAGAATAAAGAAGTAAAATACAGTACTTGAACAGTTGCAAGTAGCCATTTCTGAAAGGAAGATACTATCAAGTTTTACAAAATGTTACAAAATATACTGAAATATCAAAACCCTGACTGTGGCTAGAGACAGAGGGATAAATCTATAATGAGGTACTCCATAGTTTTAAGATATGCAAATGAGTGACTTTTCATGTCTCCCAGCCTCAGCAAGGCAGCATCTGCTAAAGCACAAGTGAGCTTTGCTTATAAGCAGTATTTGTCAAGCCCTACGATGCTGAACCAAAACCAGAGTACATGAGTGCATTCAGAGTTTTGATTGATTTATATAATTATGATCAAGTGCTGTTAATTTCACCCTTCAGAAGAAACAAAATGCAAATCTCTAGTGCTTAAACAGAAGGAAGTTAAACAGATACAGTTCATACACTGCCTACAGTGCCTGAATCCTTAGAAAAGTTATCACTGCATGTGTACCAGACAGCTAGAACCTTGGCACAATAATTTCAATAGTCACAGGTTATCACCAGATCTTATGGTGGGTGCAGAAGTTTTAGCAGCTCATTTTTGCACTTTGAAAGGCTACTTAAAGAAGTCTGCATAAATGAACCAATGCAGCCAACTTTACTGTAGTTACTAGAGCTTCATTTATGTGTATACTGGAAGTAATTTAGACTGTCATTCAGTGACAGAAAGAGCAATCAGTTTCATTGCTCCTCATTTCTTTTGTTTGAAGTGTCTATGATACTAGAGAGTATAACATAGAGATCAGATCAGACATCTGCCCGTATCCATAATTTTCCAAAGTCCAGACTTAAGCACAGCACAGTAAGTTTTTCTGGTATTGTACATGACTTCCTAGGGGACAGCAAACCAATCCACTTTAGGGTGAGTTTCTATAACCTGCTGGAACACCTCTAAAATACAAGCTAAAAGGAGACAGTCTGCATGGCTATATCAGCCTCCTGCTCTGCACTGTATCTACTCCTAGTATCTTCACAACTGTTAGTACTGACAAAATAGATGTACTGATATTGGAGGGCCAGGACTTACCCATTCAATCATACATTGCAGTGCTCCAACGTAAAACAGCATCAGGCTGTGGTCAACAGCTTAAAGCTACTGTGACATCGATTGTGTCCGTAGTGCCAGAGAATGCCCATCAGTATTTTTGAATAGCAACATAGTTTTACTCCTTAATTTCCAGCATACATAAGAAAAAAATCACCAGAAATTCATCTAAGCAGAATAACTGCTCATTTAATAAACCATTCATGGAAAAGAAAATCTGCCAGGGAACAGATATTCCCCCATGAAGGCTAAGTATTCTGTTTTCCTTTTCAAACCAAATTCCTTCACATTGAACAAGCTCTGTCATCTGCCTCTTCCAAACTGCTATTCAAAACAACTGAAGAGTAAAGTATGTAAATTTCCATTGATGTTTCAGAAGTTCGTTCCCTTTTTGCTTCCCTTCTGCCCTGTTCTTCCCCATATGTGAAGCTTGTGCCTCAAGTGTGCTGACAATTTCTGTACAGGTACACCATAAACCAGGCTGAAAGGCTGTGTTTAAAAATGGTTTTCAGAATGTGTTGTGGGGAGTTGGAGTAGATGATCTTCTGAGGTCCCTCCCTGACATTCTGTGGATAAAAGCTCAGCCAGCTTCATTGATGGTGTACAACAAGCAAAAGAAGCCAGCACAGCTTACCATGAAGAAGAGTTTAAGCCTCTGGTGCCCTTCTTCCCTCTAGATCCCAGTGGCTCCAGTCTCCTGACAGTCATAAAATCCAGATGCTCATAAAATCCTTATTGAGTGTAACAGCCAGTTTACTTCTCCTTGCTGAATTATTACATTCAATTAGACATTTTAGCATCTTAAGCCAAAAGTTCAACATGCACCAAAACTCAAACTGGGGAAGTGTGGAAGGAAATAAGAGCTTCCCTCAACTGTAAGGTAGAAGAACTTGAAAGTTTTGCATTTTAAGAGAGACTGCACTGAGCTTGCTTCTTGCTTCCGTAGTCTTAATTGATCAGAGGCAGTCAATGGTGATAAATAGGAGCTGTTTCAAACCTGTTTCCAATGCTCTGAAGCATATGATTAGACATAGGACATGCTGCT